TTTTCGCACCACAACGTTTCGAAGCAAAATCGTACACATTTAAAGAAGTCGAGAAAAATAAGAGTAAATAGGGGCAAAAACGAAAAAATAATCATTGTCTCCGAAAAGGCTTATTTTCGAACAGGGCACTATTATTTGATGTGGATAACATATATTTCTCGCACCATAGAGTTTCAAAACAAATTCATATACATTCAAAGAAGTCGAGGAAAATAAGAGTAAATAAAGGAAAAAACGAAAAAAATAATCAACGTCTCCGGAAAGGCTTGTTTTCAAACACGGCACCATTATTTGATGTGAATAACATTTATTTCTCGCACCATCGCGTTTCGAAGCAAAATCGTATACATTTAAAGAAGTCGAGGAAAATAAGAGTAAATGTAACACCCCGCTTTTAGTACATTGAATTTCTAGAATAAATTTTTCTTTTTATAACACTTTTGAAAACTTTACTTGGAACTCAGGGTGCTACTTACTTTGAAAAACGTTTCATACATAATCCTTTCATAACCATAAAACTATTCATGAACATAAACATTTCATACGTGAACATAGAACATTTCATACATGAACTTTTCCTGAACATGAACATTGAACATGGCGTTGCCTTGAGAACTTACACTTTAACTTGACTTGCATGAACCATGACTTATTTCATAAAATAAACTTTGCATAGCGGAAGCTTTTAAAACATAAATATCATAAACATTTAAACATGTGACCACCCTCGCCATCGTTCCATTGCCAGCTCGCCAAAAACCTGGGTGTGGAAAACAAATGGGGTGAGCATTTCCACTTACTTCGTGAGAGATCCCTCTACGTTATCATCCTAATCAACTATAAAGCATGAAATCGTTTTCATATACTCCACATAGTCATGAGCTCCCGACGAGTGGTGACCCACAAGTCAAAAGACTTTCTTGCTTCTACAACACTATTAGACAACTAAACACTAGAGTCTTTGCATGCAGGCGATTACATTCTTGTCACAATCCCACCACTCATCAAACTCCTTATACCACTTTATGGTGGTGGGAGAACAATGCCTCTCGCAGATGGCACGGCCAATTAGGCTTGATGAGAGTACCTATCATTAGGTTGAAGGAAGAAAACCTTTCATTAGGTTCCGTACAGTCTTATCGACGGGGACAACCGTTCGAAGTGTGCACCAACGAAGGTTACATATAACCACTTACACCCTCTAACCCCAGCACTTAGCTACCCTCTAGAGTTATAGTCCGTGAACCTTGGTACTGCAACAAACGACTTGCTCGAATGTTGGAACATTGTATAAACATGGGTACTATGCAAGCTACTTAACTTCATTCATAGCATAGATAATTAAAGAGGATTAATAAAGTAGAACTTCCCCCACCTTTTCAGTAGAATGCTCGTCTTAGACTTGAACTTGAAAGAAATATCGAGGGCTCGACTCCTCGTAAAACTACATTCATTGGGGTCATGTCTTAGTGTCTTAACGTGGAACTTATTCTTATACTTATACTTATACTTATAACAATACATATGCTTTGGAAACTTGCTCGCTTGGCTTCGCCTTGCTTGCGTTCTTTTGAAAACATTCTTACTTAAATCTTTGAATAATTGAACTCTTAGCATGCTTACTTAAGGACACCCTTTTAATCATCTACCGTTCATCATGATCTCACTCGATGCTTTACAGCTCATACATGTCACATAAGCATGCGCTGCATTTTTAAAACGAGCATATCTTTCAACATACAAATCGCATTAACATGATTCAAGTCTCATATTGCTCCTAAGACATGGTACTACAACTTTTTTTTAGCTTTCAAAAGCAAATAAGGTCATATACATGGTCCGAAACCAACAAACATTCAAGGCTCAAATGTTGTCCAGAAATTAAAATAAATCCATGCGCAGTTTTACGGAAACAGGTATCATTCACTACTCGGACCATATTCTTGCTTGATTCCAGAACCACATGAAATATAACGCATAGAACTACAATTTCAATGAAGACTTCAGGTTCATTTGAGCACATTATCATATCATAAACACACAAAACATCCAAACCTAACTGCAGCCGGATTTAAGAAAAACTGCTCGTGCAGTCAATTTTGTAAAAATCATAACTTCTTCGTTTTAAGTCGAAATTGCACTATTCCAAAGCTCACGTAAGCACAACTGAACGAACTACATATCATATGAAGAACTCGAAAACCGAAAACGAAATCTCTGGGGCCTAAACTTCTTCCGAACATACAGCAATGAAACAACACGTTCACATACGATCATACCAATATCTTTCCGAACTTCTTAACATGTCAAAAGCAACTTAAAGCATGGGTTCTAGGCACGTTCATCACATAATAAGACACAATTAAAACACATAAATTTACAACTCAAACCATTCTTTCGGAAGCCCGGCAAGGCTCCAATCCAACATTAACTCAACAATAACCGACTTAAGCAAGCGTAAGAGGTTCAATTATCTACTTTGAACACATTGATAATTCATTCATAATTAATCGAATTCAAAATAACAGTCCGAGAAGGTTAAGGCTTAGGGTTTCACCGCTCGAATAAAAGGAACAACGCTATCGATTCGAAAGGGCTCAGTTGAACTTGGCCGAACGTGAAGGGGCTGCTCGTGGCTTAGGCTTGCTGCTCGTTCACGGTGGAGAAGGGCTGGGGTCTGCTCGGCGGAGCCTCGTGGTGGTTGAAGGCTGGGAGCTGCTGTTACGGTGGCTA